TGTCAGGAATAAGACACAACCTTGTCGAGGATTTTTGTTGTTGTTTGTTGTTGTCATAGTCTACATTTTACTGGCTTCACGTTTTTATTTTTCCACTAAACTTGTCTTTCTAACACTTTATCAAAATCTCCAATATATACAACCTGTCTGTCATTATGTTGCCTCTGTATTTACAGTATTGTCTCTCGATTAGGTAACGCTGGTTGATTCTGTTCTTTGACTTTTGCCTGTTATCTGCTTCACTCCTTTTCTGGCCATCATACTTTCTGTAGTTACAACATGCTTGTGGAAGACATAAACAAGTGATTTGTGTTATTAGGTTACATTAAATGTTGCTTTTAGCAGTAATTTTCCACGAGATTCTTGTCCACAGGTGACCTCCGACGAAGCTCCACCCCCACATTTCAACCAGGGCTCAGTGTGTTGTCACCCGTCAGAAAACACTGTTTTATTGTCCATTGAAGCATATAATGACTCCCTGCATCCTGAATCCCCAGTTAATTACCTGCGCAGCAGGGCTCAGAAGGCCTTCTTAACCTGTGTTAAAGAAGCTGTGGTCGGTTCATATGGAAGCTGCTTTGAAGGAAAGCAGTTTATGTTCCTGATGAGGTGTTGTTGTTTTAGAGTCTGTTCAACATGCCGCTGTCACTGCATTTAACATGGAGCTGCTCACACTGCTGGCCAGTGACAGCCGATAAGACAGGCCTTTGCCCTCCTGCAGTGTTCAACACCATGTAAAGCAGCGCTGCAGGAACATCTCATTGGCCTGGAACAAAAAAGGGTCACAAAATAGAACCAGGGCAAAACTATATGCAGCGTGGTAATCAAACACATTCAGTGACTGCTAGACAAAGGGAGTAAGAAATGTGTTTAAAATATCTATAGAGGTTTTAGATACAGAGTGTTTAGGGTTTATGTTATCTATTTATCTATCTATCTATCTATCTATCTATCTATCTATCTATCTATCTATCTATCTATCTATCTATCTATCTATCTATCTATCTATCTA